AAAACCTTGTCGAAACGTTGTACATTTGCTGTCATGTTAAACTTATATTAAAGTTTTTCTTCATTACCCATTTAAGCCGTCTCCAGCCATTATTAGTATAAAATATATTTAAATTATTTAGGCACTTAGTTTTTGTTATATTTTGCTTTATTAACTGTGATAGGTGTTCTGTTTATGACTTACAGATAATTAAGTTTACAAGTTGTTTTTGTGTTATAAAATCAACTTTTATGTTAAGAAAAGCAAGACTATGTATTAAACTATATTAATGTTAAAATTGAAAATTACTTTTAATCACAAAAACATATGTTATGAAAAAAGTTCAGTTATTTGTAAAGCATCCTTGAAACATGACATTATATTTTCAATACAACTTTGATCACGAAATCATTTTGGTAGATCTAATATACCATAAATAAATGTTCAAGAAAACACTGCAATACAATATCTGTCGTTTGAAATACATTTTATCTTAGTTATTTTCATTAGCAATTCAAACGCAATGCTGACTTTTCCATAAATACAAAGATGCATCTGTAGAGATTTTACTATCTAAAAAACAAAAACTATTTCTACAATTTAAAATAATAAAGATTAACTTTTAGATTTAAAAAAAATAATAATGTGTTATCAAAACTTCAAAAGTACATGTCAATATTTTACTGGCAAATTTAAGGATTTTTTGTACTTTCTATTTATCTATTGAACTTTAAAAATTATGTACAATAGGAAAATCAAAACCTGAAAGTCATGGAATATTATTTTTTCTTCTATAGCACAAAATTCTTCTTTAATGCAAAAACACAATCAAACAGAAATAAACAGAAGAAGCAGCATATAAAATACACACTACAGATAGATACTCATAATTCTACATTTCTGTAAAAATTGTTCAATTAAACATTTCATAAATTTATTTTGCTTTTGAACAATAAACTACACTTTGAACTTTGGTTTCCTAATACTGACAAAATAAACCCTTCAAACATTGTTCATGCATTACAACAGGAAACAAAATTTGAAGTTTTTTCAAAGATAACAGTTATTTCTTAGTTGTTATCATTCCAAGATTATACAAACAGGTGTTACGGGAAATACTCAAACAAGAGTTGCATTGTGCAAACTGTAATATATCAGAGTCAACACAACATTTTGAAAAACAAGTCAAACTAGGAATGTTAACAACTGGTCAAGAAAACATTTAAATTTTTATGTTACCTTAAAAAATTATTCAAAAATGTTATAGTAAAATAATTAGTTTATGTTCTAAGTTAAATGGCTCATTTCCTTGTTTTATTAGGTATTCAAGATCTATGAAGTTTTGTTTGAAAAACATTAATACTAATTAAGAAACTGCAGATCTATAAATCTTCTAATTATTCAAAAAGGCATGTATAAAAATGTTAAAAACTAAAACAGAGACAAAAAAGGGGCATGTTTTTAAGATAATTTTAACAAATAGTTCTATCCAAAATTATCATTAATATAAAGGTGGTTACTTGCCACAAGTTAATTAACCAAATGACAAAAATATTTTTTTTGTATTCTTATTTATAAAAAGTATTGTTGCATTATGAAAATTTGCTAAATGACAAATACCAAAAATATTTAAATATACCTTTCTGGTTATCCTTTCATAATTTCTTACAGTTACAGTTTCCAATAGAAAGTATATTTGTATTATAAATTTGAGTTATGGATCACTTGAAATTAACTCCAACATATATTTTGACCAATAACTTTAAAGCACATTTTAGCCACAAAACTAAATCTTACAAAAAATCTTTATAAGGTTTACTAGTGTTAAATTTAAGCAAAAAATTGTTTAAACAAACAACATTAGATCCATTAAAAATGTAACCCCTAAAACTTTATTTTTGATTTTGCATAAAAGCATTTGAGATACAGAAAGTTTAATTAAACTTTTTAAATCAAAATATTCTAAATGACACTTAAAACTTGGAGATAATGATTAACAAGTGATTACCTGTACAATATTTTATATAAGAGTACAATTAATTTTATCATCATTAAAAAATAATAATTACAGGACATATTAAAAGCAGACAGCTAGGGTTATAAAACCATAGTACAAACACATAGATACAGAAAAAGAAATTTTTGTACACATATACGATTATACAATTTCAAAACTAAATAGTGTAAAAAAACAGTATCCTTACCAAACTAACACAGAAAATAAACATGCATTTATGTATTGACTGAACATGTGGGAATATTTAGAAAAGGTACAAGCTTTGATACAGCATCATAAAGAACTGTAACTAAAAAATCATCAGTTACCATTTTGTATTTGTTGTGAGTAAAGTTCCATACAAGAATTACTAACGTGCTGAAATATGCAGCTATGTTCATGCAATATACATACGTAATTGATTTTTTAAGATAATTTACTTAACTTCAGCACATAAATCTGTTAATGACCTCATCCTATATGTTTTCATCATCACTCATTTGCAAAGCTTTCTTAGCTGAACGAGTAACACAAGCTAAAGGTATGTAATTTCTCATTTCAGGTTTTCGATGAGGTTTAAGTTTTGCAAGAGGAGAAGCAGCTTCTGCCTTCAGGAGGGTATACTCTGGAAAAATAAGATAATCAAAATTGTTTACTTTTACTAATTATTGCTTAAAAAATTAATATAAAAACCTTCATGCATTTCATTGGGATTATTTTTTACTCTACAGTTTGCACAAACTAAACATAGCTTAAAATATCATTTGAATGAATGAGCTAATCCTTACTGGCCTTCAAAAAGCACATAAAGCCAGTGCTTAACTCTACTTTCCTGTGGCATAAGTGAGTGAGAATGGTGACAAACCTCAGTCCACCTCAGCTTAACCCCCAGCTATTCACTGGTATCAATTATACAGCTAGGTAAACTGAAGCAAGTGGTGTAAAATACATTGTTCAAGCACACAACAACATGTTGCAGTTAAGCTTCAAGCCCACAACCTTTCATATACAAAGTCCAAAGCATTAATCATTAGGCCACACTGTTCCATCTTAAAGATAAAATACTAAAGAAAGAAACACATACTTACCTGATTTGCATCAAATATATAACTTTAAGGAATTGTCACCATGATAGTGTCAATCAACAAGAACTTCTAGACAGTTCAGAACTAAAGCATTAACAAATTAATGAAACCAATCCTCCATAATAAACTGACTTGATATTCTTAGTACCATAAGTCAGTGTACAAAAAAATTAAAACTTAATAATATTAGAATGTTTTAAATCATCAGTTCGGTGGTACCCTTATCATTAGCATTGTTTGCCATAATTCCAATAATATCTAACAAAGTTGAACCAGCTTGGATTTAGATTAGTCTTAAAACCACATACAAGTAACATAAGTTATGTGCTAAAAGAGCTATTAATGCTATTTCTAGAAGAAGGTAATTACATTTTCCAGTACACAAAGTTACACCAGCTTACTGCCAAATTTTTCAAAAAACAGCATTTAATTTTCTGCCTTAAAAATAAAGTATTCTGATACTTTTGGATTTAAGATAATCTACTTTTTCAGATTTGTTTAAACTTTGTCCTATAGAAAGTTATACTTCTACTTATCCATATGGTTAATTCAATAAGGTGTTTGTTATTATGAGTATTAAATGAAATATGGATGAGATTAATTGTATGCTTATAATATATGAAACTTAAATATACACCATGTTATATGCCATTTTTTTGTATGCTAGTTTTCAAATAAGATTAAGATTTTGAGAACACATCAGAAAGAGATATTATAATGGAAATTTGAACTGTCTTTTATCAGCTGTTAAATTTACTTTAACTGAACTTATTAAAAACTTTTACATTTTGAAATATTTAAAGAATGTAAAAATAAGAACTTTGTGGTGGTTGCATATCAATAATTTCCATAGTTAGTAGCATATACGATCATTCAAGTCTAATTATTAGTTAGTAACTGAAAGGTAACTAATTAATAATCAGACTTACATAATCATAAATGTACCTAACAATGACTATGAATATAGAAATTATATTACATCACATTTTCTTCAATATAAAATTCCTAGTTCAAAAAGGTAGTGAATTTTCATTTTGTCTTTGGTTAGTTTATTTAGTAGAAAAATTAAAACACTATATATTTACTTAAAACGATCTTTTAAGAATAGTGAAGAGTGGTCTCTTAATGGATTTTATTTATGTGAAAATCACAAAAAATAATCCTAACTAATATTTAGGTGCCCAATTGGAGAAAACAGACATGAAATTTAAGCATTTTCATAATACTCAATTCAAAATATACTTGAAATTCTTATTGAAGATACAATCTAAATAGAAAATTTCATGGTTCTATCTTGAAATAAATAATTTAAGATATTTTTATTCATCATAACCATGACTTTTACTTCAATCAATAAACATAATGAAAAGTCATCTGAATCAATACTCCCAAAGTGAAACTGAGAGTTGAAAGAAGAAGCTTAAAACACCACTATATGTTTTATACCCAAGCAAAATAATTTTTTTGGTTCAAATATAGAATGTCTACACCTTAGTGTGGTCAAGTGTTGTATGATATCTGACCACCAGGGTAATCAGACTCACATCTACCACTATCTTAACAGCATATGACAAAATAACTAACTTACAAACTGTGTTTAATGCATCAGAGTAAACAAAAGGGAATCCTCAATAGCTGTGGCACTTGAAATTCTTTTTTGAGGCAGAATTTAGAGTAAATTAATCTATAAATCTTTTTTTCCTTTTTATTAGCTTCTAGCATAAAAACTCCTCAAAAATGACGGGAAACCACTGGAAATCAAAACTATTTCATATAAAATTGGCAATACTAAAAAAAAAGAAATCTGACATTTCCTTTTCAAGGAACATGCTACATACTGATGCTTTTGGATAAAAGATTAAAACATACGATGACTATGCGATTGCATACACACCTGTTCTTCTGAGGAAAAGTCATCCTCTTCTTTCCTACAGATATTTGGTTTCTTCAGTCAGTTTTAACAAAGGCTTCTCATAATAATTCCCAAACATAGATTAGCACTAGTTTTTTTACTTATTTTTCACAAGTCTTTCCGGCTTTCCTATTCAGATCCTACCTAACTTGACATCATAATTATGTGGGTGATGTGGTGTCACACACATAACACCATGCCTCATCTGCTCCTGGGAACTCCCTCCATGACAGGCTTTTATGTAGCAGAAAAAGTGCTAAATTTTTGAGCTATTTATGCCTATATTAGCAATTAAATTCAACTAAGATGGGAACAGGCAATAAAAAGAGGAAGTATTTTACAAGAAATGGTGGAATTGGACTCGTATAACTCACAAAAAATTGGAGAAATTGAGTGTGACTGACCGATACTTGGCTTTTATATATAAACTGATATTTTTGTGTGCCAGCAATACCAAGTATGGGGCATGCATATACCTGTTACAATTGTATTACTCATCAGGATCTCTACCAGCCTACCCTCAAGGCAGGATTAGGGTAAATTAATCTATGAGACCTTGGGTGTGGTCAAATACACCAATCAAAAGGGTTTGACCTCCTGAGTCCAAAACTGTAATTAGACCTCAAATTGGTCAAGAGATGACAGAGCAATGAGCTAAAAGTTTGTACTTGAAGAAAAAAACAACACTCGGAGCCATTCTATGAGCCACTATGCTGTGGCTAAAAATTATAAAAATTCAGGTGAAAGGAACTCTACTAAGCCACCATCTAAAACCTGAAGTTGAAATTAACCAGCCAGCCAGTTAAATTGTGTACAGAGCATTTTCTAATTATTCATTTAGTTTCATTTTAAACAAGTATATAATGCAAATATGCTAGCATTGTTGTGGAGATCTGTAGTCACAAGTTTTGATAATGTATATATAAAGCAGAACCTCGATTAATGGGCACCACACCACTAATGACAGACCTTTTCAGTTGTTTTTTCTACTATTTGTAACCAAAATAACTCTTGCAACAACAGGCACCTCGATATTCTCGATTTAGGGCAGTGTCTTTAGTCTCCTCTATAGGGGCACTTGATAAAGCGAGCAGTTATCTTTGTATGCCTGTAAGGTATAATGCTAAGCTCCAAACATCCCAAAAGGATGACCAGTATTCAAACACTTGCAATGTTTATTGGATCGGCTCTGAACCATTTTACTCTAATAAAAGTTTTCACAGATTCAAAGGTGCAATCTTGTTACTCTCGGGAATTCTTGTTGCAAATGCTTTAGGATACATAAGCTGATAAATTCCATATCATGTTCTCGGAGCAAGGGTCAAGTCGACTTATTTGTGTGTGTGTGTACTTTGTTGCTCTTGAGAGTATCATATTATGGTGTGACGTAAACAGTCTAATGACACAAGCGGTGAATTGTTGCTTTATTTTCAGCAGATTTCCATATCAGTCATTGACAGTAAAATAAACACGGAAAATAAGTGTGAAATATTCAGCAGTTCAAACTCTGAAGGGAAGTACTTTGAAATTTTGTGATCAATAATAAAGAAGGCACTACTAATCCACCCACTGAGACCTTCTGTCGACAATGCTCCATGTCATGACAACATGCAACTCACGAACACTCATGTCTTTCATATGCCAAACAAAATGGGGGGGGGGGCTTAAAATTCAGAAACTTAGTATGGTCAATATGGAATCCAGCTTTGTGTGGTTCATTTTTGATATTAAGAGCACCTTGCTATAGAGGGCATTTGGATACAGTCAGAAGGATGCCCTTAATGTCAAGGTTCTACTGTATATACTGCAGCATTTTATAAAGTTGGAAAACTGTATTAACTATGTTCAAAAATTGTGGTGGTTCAAAACAAAATATCTGAACATAGACAATATGTTATGGTTGTGTGTGACTGAAATATGGTAATGCATGTTCACAAAAGCTTGACTTTCAGTGTTTTTTGTTGGAATGGTAAAATAGGCAATAGAGTATCACCCCCAGAAAAATATTTCACTCCAGGCTATTACAACTCTTGTGAACAACTCTGGAAAACACTCTAAAGTCAAAAATCTACAAGATTGGTGGAAAATTTGCATTCCAATATAATGTTTAAAAAAGTTAACATTAAAATAGTTTTTTTATTTTTTTTTTTCTGTTCCAGCTTGTTCACAGATTAAGATTATCTTGAATTTTAATTGAGTTGGTAACATTGTTGTGAAACTTATCATTATTATAAATTTATGCATTAGCCTAGTGATAGAGATTCATCATGCAGTAAAAAAAAAGTGTGAACCCCATCACTAAGTAAAGAAAGTGAACAATATTTTTTTTTAAATATTATGAACTGTCCTTTATAAAATTATCACATTAACAATAGTATCTAAGATTCTATATATGTATTCCATTTAAGAAACTTAGGAATAAAGCATTGATCTAGGAATTTTTTTAATAGTTTTTTTAGATATTCTTTCCTTTCCTGAAAATGTTTTTTGTTTCATATTATATCTATCTGAAAGCTACACAAATCTTCATTTAAAGATAAATTTAGTTAGGTTAGTGAGTAATAGGCATATGCAACTATCTATAGTAAAAATAACAATTTTGCATACACTAAACAGATCTCCCACAACTTTATACATCTTTATTTTTTGGTATGAAATATGCAGGTCCTTTGCATACATGTGATCCCTGTTTGAGTATTTAAAAATCATATAAACATCTACATCAAGTATCCTCCAGTTCTTTTCATTTCTAAAGAAAACATTATATCAAAGGTTCTCTTATTAATTTAATTTCTTAAGGCAGGTACCATTCTATGAAACTGTCACTGTATTCTATACACAACATTACAATATATCCGTCAAAATTAAAAGTTCCTATAATTGACTATAATTCAAGCCCAAGACTACCTTTTCAAATGTTGCTAATGCAAAAAATTCATTCCAAATGTCCATAACCCAAGCACATCATGTAATCAATTTTCTCAGTATCCAAACTGATTTTACATTTTTGGACAAGACACTAGAACCTGTTATTTTTAGGTCTAAATGATTTTCCTTAGAATGACAAAATAGGTTTACAGAATAACAGGAGTTTTGCACATAATATTTGCACAAGTTCTTTGTATAAGTGAATTTATAAATATGCAATAAAGAGACTAGACAAAATTGAATAAAAATACACTGAACAATCTTTGCTATTTGCAAACACAAATATTGTGTGTGCTTGCTCATGGACAATGGTTGACCACTTTTACTGTATAATAAATGATGTTCATTCAAAACTGCATTGGTTGAGATGCTATAGTTAAATAGCAATCTAGAGCAACAGCATTACCAACATGACTGTTCATTCCCATTTAAACTTAAGGAAAGTTGTAAACTTCCAGCACCTGGTCTACCATTAGAAGATGCTGCTGTCTACATAACTGCACAAGGTGCAGCTTTACAGTCATACACTCCTTGGGCAAACCAAGTGTTCTCTCAAGAAAACAACAAAGAAAGTAACAACTAGAACAAAACCAACTTAATAGCTTTCTTGACCACATGCTGTGAAAACTTCACATACATAGAATGACTAAGAAATTTTGAAATATTCTATATTAAAACAGGGAATAAAACATACTATGCCTGCATACCACATGCATAGGAATTTTCCAAAGAGTAATAGCTCTTCCCAGTATCTTAGTAACATCACTTAATTTAGGATTACTCCTAGCCAAGAAACCATTAACATTGCTGAAATAAAAAATGTGAAATGCAGGTTCCAAAAGTGAACCCTGAGGAGCACCAACAGTTGTATTATCCCAATCAGAAAAATGCCATATTATAAAGGAACTCCTGCTTTTTAATAAAAGGATAATTTTCTATAATAGCGATAACTTCATCTACAAAAGCAGTTATGTATCAAACTTCAAGCAGTGTGATTAGGCAAAAATATAAAAATACCTTTCTGAAACTACACTTGTGTACAAGTTCATAATGTATGTGTACATGCCAAGTATTTTTTTTGTCTGTCATCATGCAACCACTACATCTCTTTCATCACATTCAATATGAAACATATTTCCTCATATTTAATTTTGTAAAAAAATTCAGCTGAATTCTGCAGTTTCAAGCTGTATGAGCTCTTTTCTGCCCAGCTTATCTAATTCCTGCCATTATACTTTCATTATTGACAGAAAAGTAACAATAGAAATATCACCCAATGTAAGGAAAACAAATCCAAACCAATTGTTCTCCATCTCAAATGGACATACAAACCTTATGTAGATCATCTTCTCCACCTTCAAGCTAGTTGGTCTTAAGAGAGCTGACATAGTTTGGAACAGTTCTTAATTGATGTTGGTTTGCTGCTAATCACAAAGCTACACAACAGATTATCTGTACTCTGCCCCATAGGGAAAATATGATCATATCTGTTTATTAAAAAATAACATTAATTAATTTTTTTCCTGAAGATTTACACTTTCAATTTTGATCAAACTTTCTACACTTACCACTTTTATTTCTTTGTTGAGCTATTTTTACTGGACTGTTGACAGTAAAAAAACCTGGCATTTCAAACACTTTTTCATTTTCTTTATTTTCTTCATCATTACTGCTACTGCTGCTTGAAGACTTTACAGTACGAGCTTTTGCTTCTGCAAGTCTCTGTCTGGCAGCTAATATGTGCATTTTCATTTGTGAGGATACGTTACTAAATTTCTGATGTTTCCCAGTTTCAGATTTAGACTAAATACATGAAAAATGTCCATGTTAATAAAACTTTGATTTTTTTTTGTATACTTCTAACATTAGAATAGTGATAAACTGGAAATTCTTATCTAGCACAAACTTGAAATGGTATGGTAGTTCAACATACAACATACTTTTAATATTTAGATTTCCAGCACTTTACTCATAAATAACAGTATATTTCATTTACTTAAATTACTGGACAACATGGTGACAAAAATTAAAATGTAATCTGGAAGTGGTAAGCAAACCAAAAATAATGTAACATAACAATAAAAAAAAATCTAAGAATCAGTAGCATTGCAACTTTTTCAAAAATATATCAATTGATAAAAATGCAGTTAATTTTGAATAAAAATTGATTTAGTTGTGCATAACTATTTTTCTATACTTAATAGTGCAAAAAAAATTTAAAGTACATGATTAATCTAAGGACCAGAAAGGAAAAAATAAAATTTGAAAGATATTTTTGTAAAACAAAATATTCTGTAGATAATCATAATACACTATAATGTTTATCTGCATCTTTACAATGTACAATAATTTTTTTCTATTTAACCAAGGGGAAATAGCTTTAGAAATAAAACACTTCTTTTAATGGTAAACCCAAAAAATATCCAAGTAAATTGCACTTCAGTGCTCAACTGCTACTGCGTTCTACCATGGATTTCACAACCTAATAATTAGCCTGTAGAGAATCTAAACATAATTGATGAGATTTAGTAACTTCTGATTATTTACATCTGTCTTGCAAGTTTGTAGTCACTGAAATAATTTAGGTGCTCGTGTCTACATTAAACAAGCTTGACCTATTGTTTTCCCAAAATAATTTCAATGGTTTCTTATTTATGATTGCAAGTAACTTTTCAACTGCATGTGTAATAAATACTTGAAATAGAGCACAATAAAACATGTAATGACTTTTCTACACTTCCAAATTAACTTCACCTTTTAATTCTGTGCTGTACTCAGATGAGTAGACATTTACAGTTTATGTAATTACTTTGCTACAGAAATTGTAAACATAATCCAGGGCGTAGCCTTACAAATGACTCAAAAATACCTCTCTGCAACAAAAAGAGCTATTACCTCATGTGCACTGCCACAAGCCTTGAACAGAGCTTTCAACCATACATGCGTCAACATGTATTGCACCAACCTATGATGCAATCATCATTAGACTACAGCTTTCTATCAGTAGAAGGACAAAACATCTTCCAGTATTCTCCCTAGCACTAGTATTTCAACACAAGTTCATTCTTGACAAGGCAAACTAATGCACTGGAAGTGGTGAGGAAAGGAGTTCATGCAGAGAAGTGAGTATCTCTGAAATGCATTGTCAAGTAAGGAAAATGTTAACTTCAGAAACACTAGTCACCTCTCTGCACCACAAACACCTAATCCCACATTATAGATGGTGGAGGGCCAAGTGCAAAGAAAGAAATTACAAAGATGAGTTTCTTTGTGAAAATATTATGGAATGTGACATCCACAAAGCTTGAGAGGTAGTCTAGTGGAGCAGCACTCAGTGGGAGACCACATCCATATTAAGCTGGGAATACTCTTCTTCCAATAGAGTAGAGTTGGCTTATAGCTCTTGCCACATTACACAATCATGCTCAGTTGTCCGCCTTTGAGATAACGTACAGTTGAGCAATCTGACATTCTGCCAATTTTTCTGACATTTTTTTGAAAATATATATTGCCATTCCATAATAGAGAAATATTTTTGTGAGATACTCACCATAATAAGCTGGGCAGGGAGTAATAATCCAGACCTGTGTCCCAAGGCAAACCTCAAACCAATCTGGCTGGATCTAACCATGTGGAATGGCTTGGTTAATAAAGCAGTGGGATGTCCTGTACTATACTATCAGGTAACACCTCAGCTCTAATTCCCAAAGAAAGGATACATCCACTCTGTCTGGTATCAGTGCATTGCCAAATGAGGAACTCTGCATACTGACTTCTTCAGTGGCTTGGGACTGGAGAAGCAAGAGTTATTCCATACTCTATTCAAATAAATTGGGGGAATTCATGAGGGGTAGAACACCTGAGAGGTGTGCATGTACCTTTTCATCAGGCACAGTCATGTGGAATTACATCCCACAATGAGAAACAATAAGCACACACCTGATGTTGTCATTTTTTTTTCTTCAAATGCAGAACAGATGGGCTTAACACTTTTCATACTCCACCTACTAACTAAGGATTTGGGACAGGTGTTTCCTGTGAAGCAACACTGGCCATGGGTAGGATCCATCATCATGAGGTGATGGTCAGAAAGATCTAAGAACAGCAAGTAGCAAGCAGGTGAGAAAGTAAACAAACAAAGAATAATACCGCATAAGATCCTTTGGTGGACTGAAGAATGGTGACTAGAAGGAAGCAAAAGCGAGAAGCACAAGAAACTATCATGTGATGTAGGTGATGTGATACAGACTTGTAAGATGCTATCCAACTTTCAGTCTGTAGGATCTCATAGAAAGGCTGTGATTTGACAAACCTGATAAAAGATAATGCAATAAAACATCAGGGTATCCTTACCCCCCAAAAAATACATCAACCAGATTAGATGACAAATTCACCCAACTAAAGTCAAAAGTGATAGGTCACAAGAAGAGGTGGATCCCATGTCAAGAACAGGTGATGGCAGTTTTCATGAAATGGAGCAGTCCAAACGAGATAACAAATAGCACAAACCAGATATTAAAGATAATCTGGATCAGAATAATCAAATAAAGAACAAATGAAAGGGAGAGTAGGAATGATCTGGAAATAAACTGATCACTGTGATAAAGAGTGCAAAAGGTGCCAAAGCACAAGTGAATGACGTTTCCCACAAACAAGCAGAAAGAGAGAATACATCTTCAAGGACAGATTATATATGGAACAGGAGGCCAAAGGTTCAAACAGAGAACTAGTGAAAGCCCATGGAACAACTGGGAGCTTGAAGTCTGGAGGAAGGACTGGGTGAGAGGAATGACAAGTGAGTGATCATCGATATGTAGAAGTCTGTCATACAGCCAGGTAAAAATAGCAGATACATGAGGCAGAATATGAAAATCCAGCAAAAAAGTGGAGAAGGAGCCAGCAGTAGTAAATGATTGATTCGTTTACTCCAATAAAAGGCCAATGTGGAAGACTGTTTCACAAGAAACTAGACAAATCCCACATGAGAAGATGGTGTGATGGACATCTGTGGCTGGTGTAGAAGGGACCCTCAAAGGTAAAATGAAAGAGGCTCCAGAAAATCAAATGGCATAAAAGGGAAAAACAACTGAGCTGGTCAAAGAGGAAGAATTGGATGGACCCAACAAGAGGTGCCACAAATGAGAGACAGAACACTGAAAAGAAAGCAAAGAAGAAGATAGGCATAAATAAATAGCTTAGATCAATCATGGCTCAGGGAATCAACAGCCAGAGATGTAGAGTCTGCAGCTGGCATTAAAACAAAAGGAAATTTGATGTTGAGGAGAGTCACAAAGACATTTATTATAGGCCTCCCATAGTGGGAAAATATCCACTGAAAAACCACTGTCACGGAAAGGATCCTGTTTAGGTGAGACAAGTGATCCACCAGGTTCAAAACTCCCAGGACAGTAACTGAATTTGATGGTTGCAGACGAAAAGAGAAATCGCACAATATAAAAGCACAGATTCTGAGATGGAATGCTACCTTGAGAGTTGATATGATAAATCAGATACAACTGTGGGATTGTCGAAATGGATCATCACTAGATAAACATTAACTAAGACTGAAGATGTTGGGAAGCCTGACAAGCAGTCAACATTTCCAGGCCATTGATATGAAGGGGGCCTCTCCTCTGGAGACCAAACCCTGAGATGGTAGAAGTGTCCAGAATTGCATCCCATCTGGAAAGAGAGGCATCTGTAAACAGATACAGGTCTAGACAAGGGGAAATACTCAAAATCAGGTTGGAGTGATCAAGCCATTACAATAGAGGGATGGAGAGTCATAAGCATAAATAAGGAATTCCAGAACATGTTACATTGTCCACCCAGGGTCTAATGAAGGGGATGCAAGAGGACTTCTTGTGTAGGTAGCATAGAAAACCAAAGATAATTGTAAACCAAAATCTCCATGGTGTGAAGACACAAAGGGGATGCATAAGCCTGCCCCCACTAACAAATTGAGAAAGACACCCAGGTGGACTAGATACTGAATCAAACTCAAGATGAACTTGGAGCACTAGACCAGCTAACACAGATGAGATGCCTCCAGGAAGAGGAGGGAGGTTGCCTCTATGGAAATTCTTTGAGATGGAACCAGAAAGAGCTAGTCATCTATATAATAATGGAATTATATTCCCAAAGAATGCACCAGTTGTACAAATGCTCACATAACCTGACTGAAAATGTAAGAGCTCATGACTAACATGAAGGAAAGGGCCAAAAACTGAAAGACCTGATTTCTGTGAACAAACTGACTAAATGACAAGAAAACAAACAAATCAGGATACAAAGATGTGATCCTGAAACATCAATTTTGGTCATCCACAAAATGGAGAGAATGCCCAGCTCCTGAGGAACATCAAGGAGGTCAGTCTTCTTAGAGACAATAAAAAAACAGGAATAAAAACCTTGAATGGTCTGAAGAACCCACACTACAGCTTCCATAGCCAGCAGAGAAGACATATCCTTCTTGAGGTGCTGAAGATGCATGGGATCATAGGAGGTGGAAAGACAAGACAACTGAACAAAGAGGAGAGGGAGTGTGAAGACAGGGAGTCCTGCATGACCCAAAGATCATCAGCAAATGGAGTCACATATGCAAAAATAAGGAGAGATGGCACACAAAATAAGTCATTTTCACGGACCACAATGGCCAGCCCTGCAAGTAAAGGAAATAGAACAAGAAACAGGAAAGGGGCAACCCCATGTTACTCCCAAGGACAGGGAACCTATTGGGGCACCCAAGATCTGGTGAGGCAGGAGACCAAAAAATGTTGCTGGTGAGAATACTCAGTCTGAGATTCTAAAAAATTGGAAACACTTTCCAAAGACTTTGTCACAAAGGAAAAAAATGAGACAGGAGTCTCAGATATAAGAGGGATGTAGATACACTCCCAAAAGAAATTCAAAACCCTCAAAACAAAGAAATTCTCATGTGTTTATTCTACATTTACTTAACATGATTAAAACAAAATCCAGAAATTTGAAACACTTCCCTTCATCTAACAACAGTCAGAGGAGAATGAGGCACTCAGAGCCAATCAGTACAACCAGATCAGTTAATAAATCACATGAGATACACATACTGGATTGGCTTGAGATAATAGAAGTGATTATACTTGAATATCTTCACATACTAGTGCATCTATTTGATACCATGTTGATCTAAGAGTTCTTAGGCATGTCTGTTGAGGAGCTACCATCCCCAAATTTGTGGTTTAAAATCTTATTAATCCCCTCATTTTTCACTGTTGGAACCTTTTATTTTTTTTACAAGTTATCTTATTACATTTATTCATTTCTGAATTTTATATTTTAAACAATTATCATATGCAGCTAAATCACACTCAAATAATACAAGATCTCACCACTCAAAATTCTAGTAAGCGTAATTTCAAATCGATTGTTAGAGTTTAATTCCCTATGACTAAGGGAATATGTTTCTCCTAAAGGGCTATGATATTTACACTATAGGTTGACACAACAGAACAAGTTACGATGCATATTTTGATTAAAATCATACATTTGTACTGGGCTGATGAAACAGTTTGAAACTGTAGTCATCTAATCTAAAAATGTTTTTTTTTTTAAACTCAATATGAGCAAACATGTTTTATTTCTTAAGCACAGATTATGTGTCAAAATAAAATGTCACTAAAACAACATTAACAAACAGAGCAATTCATAAATGACTTACTTTTGTGACTGTTTTACTTAAAGCTTTTGTATCTTTTACACCATCTTCAAGTTCAGAACTCCATTTAGATTTTTCTAACATTTCCAAGTTGTTGAATTTTTGGTTCACATCTTCTACCTGTAGCAGAAAAATTTTTAAATAATTATAAATTCAATAAAGCTACCAAGTTAATAGATGTCACATGACAACCACATACAGTCACTATAACGTTGGGGTGGAACATAATAATACATTTTGTAGGTAATAAAATGAGAGTGAAATTTATTGCATTTGGAAAGGGTATGTAGCAGCCCTTCTGTACAAAATATTAATCAAAAAGATGTGTTCAGAATAGATTTGGATGAAGTTTTATAAAAATATTAAAAACACCGTAATACCAAAAACACTATTAATACAGACGTTTTGGAATTCCATCATCAGCATTAATATCTCAAAGAAAAAAGTTAGTTCATAATATTCGAACTACAAAAAACAACTTTAGCATTGAGTAAGCTTTTGTATTCAATCGGAAGTTTAGAAAGAACAGATTTAAATGGCAACAATATAATGGAATGTATGATAAAACATGTGGCATACACACATTTAATAAATAACATTGTTAAGATAAACTATTATACAGAAAGGCTTAAATATAAGTATAAACCCTGTATCTTTAAAATAATATTAAATATCAAATTAAAACACTGAGAATCTGGAATTGTTTACATTAATGACAACATGGGAATTTCAGCAAGAAGCAGATATAAACTAATCCACACGAGTTTTGTATCTGATTACGCAATGAAAATAACAACCACCCCATACTTCTAAAAAACTTTAAAATTCTCAACTCTGGAACCACAGATTATAAACTCTATATTAAAGAAAGCTTTTCCATTTTCAGTGATCCCCAACACCAATTAAGAACATCAACTCCTACATGTTGTCATTAATGTAATCAATTTGTTTTTATTTAACAATTTAACATACCAACCTTATCAAAATGAGACAGAGTAAAGTCTTTAAATAATAATAAAGTTCTAGGGATAGATATCATCTAAACTGAGTAACAATGGTGGCAACATAATGACAGAACAGATATATGAATTAATTAAGAAAATATGGAATGATTGATAAATGGCTCTACTAATCCCAATACACAAAAAAGGAAATATACTGGAATACAAGTATCATAGAGAATTACATTATTATCATCAGTTTATAAGATATTTACTAAAATCATTCACAAAAAGCTAAAGCAATACACTGATGAAATTATGAGAGTCTTATCTTCTCAACCTTATCTTTGAAAGGCAATGCTAATTCTGCAATTACTTCTTCACTTTCGGCCATAATATTTACATCATCTGCATAGGCAACTAGGTTTATAATTTAATTTTGGTCATCCTATCTCAGGCTCGCTTCCTAATGTCTATACATAGTTTCTATTTTTGCTTTCTTTAGTTCAACTTTGAAGAGCAATGATGATAAAAGGCATCACTGCCTTAGGAAAGTCTTCACCTTGAAATAATTGGTTTGAATTATTTCCAACAGCACCAAACACTCGCTTCCTTCATAACAAAATTGAAACATTTCTATTAGTCTATATGGAATTCCAAACATTTTTGTGATTTTCACAGGATTGATTTATGTATATAGTCATAGGTCTGCTTGAAATCAATGAATAAGTGCCAATATTCTTTAAAATCTGCCTCACCACAAAAATTTGGTCTATAGTTGATTTTTTAGTCTGAAATTCTGCTTGATATTTTAACCATTAGTGGGGAAAAAACACAGATTATGAAAGTATGTACAAGTGATGAGTTTGGAGAACAAAGTAGATTAATGAACCAGAATATTGAATAGGTATACAAGTTTAAGTATCTGGGAAACATAGCGACAAGAGATAATATGAAAATAGAGGTGATAAATAAATTGCAAGCTGATATAGATGATTCTGGAGCTTAAAGTAAATGCTAAGTAAAAGAAGTGTAAGCAGAAAATCTAAAATTAAAAACACAACACCATTGTAAAACCAGTTGTCCTAACTGGATTTGAAGCATGGTGACTTACAAAATATTTAGAAAAGAAAGTCCAGGTTTTTAAGAATATGGTTTTGAAGAAATTTAGGGCCAATGTATAATGCAGGTGAGAACAGATGGAGAAGACAACATAACCAAGAGTGGGTGGTCATCAGCAGGTTCACACCTCTTCAAATATCATAAAAGCAAGAAGAATTAAATGGGCTGGACATGTTACCTGAATGGAAGACAATAGACCACCCAAGATTGTTATGTTTGGAAAACCACAAAATAGGAGACCATTAGTAAGACCAAGAAAAAAACTGGCAAAATAATGCTGCAAAGAATGTCTTTAAAGTTATATAAAAGATGAAGAATGATCAGATGTTGCAGAGGACAGGGAAAGATGAAGATATTCCATAAGAGCAGCCAAGGGTTGATAAGGCCATATGCCATAATAGTAGTGAAGAGTAGAGTAGTACACTATTTTCCTGAACTATAACTCCAATCAATTAAGCTGAACAGCTTTGAATTAATTAAAAATAATAATAATAAAAATCATAATACAATATATTACTTAGTTGGATAGTTAGGATAATCGAAAAGAGGAATAATTAAACATGCTAATTTCAAATAGTTGATCATTTTCTTGACATTAATTGATTTAATAGTAATTTCAATTAAGTTATTTGATATGGCCAGTTCAAAATGGTGATTTAGAGGTTCCAATGGCACTGAAGAAAAAAAGAAAAGAAAATGGATCAACTTGGGACACTAGGACCATCAAAAAGAGATCTGCAACAACTCGTATCCCAGCCATGGTAACCAAAGTGCAGTATTTTGTAACATGTGAAAATTCACAAATACCAGTAGCAAACGCTGTCCACATGGTCCCAGACAACAAAACATAGAATAATCAAGAAACTCCACCTAAACTAACACCAAAAGGTTATGGATTCACAAAGATAAAATGCCCAGACATAACTCCCATTCAATCATCTCATACCTCAAGAAGTCAGAGATTGAAACAGGTAATCATGCTATTCCAAATGAAGATGCAGTGCCTGTGAATTTCTGTGCAATTGTACTGCTAAAACAAGCACATAGAAACTGAAGTATTAGATCAATTATGGAAAGCCTTCAGAGAGAAATGATGTGTTTTGGACATGACAGTCTTCTAATGGAGCTCTTTGCAATGGAAGCTATGCTGCAGTGCTACTATCAAGCTATGTGGTCATCAGATATAGTATAACTATACATGCCAATATGACTGCTAAGACGTGGTGAGGCTCCATTGTGGCAGAATGCTACAAGTTCTTCAAATATCTATAGAATGATAGGTTTCTTTTTTGTAAGTGTAAAACACTTAAATACACCATTTTAAATTATATTTCTCTATTTTTATATTTACTATTAGTTTTATAATGGTCCTTTGTTAGGTAGAGAAAATCTTGATGTGAATTGGCTTCCAGATAACTCAAAAGATAGAACATAGATCCAAGGTGCAAGTACCAGCCTGTAAGTCACTTTTCATTATTCATTGAAGCCCACTGGATTATTACACTACCTAATTCAAATTGTTGTAATAAACCAGTTATTATTTTAAAAGTAATAGGAAAAAGAAACATTAGAAAAACATATGATGTATGGCATTAAGTTAAGATGAAAAAACCAGAGGACATTTAGGACATTAATGTTAGTTGAACCTGTAGTTTTCATTTTAAGATTTTAAAAAGCAATTAGATGGCACTGTTTATTTTGTGAGAATTTTCATTTTGCTTTAAAAACTAAATAGGATTTTCAAAAACATATGTTAAAACCAAGCTTTCATGATATTAAAGTGTGAAATATCTAAACCAGGCATAGTGTAGTGTATACCTGAAAGAAGATCATGTCCCAAAATCCTTGCAGATCATCACAAGTTGTCTTCTTTTCACCCCTGTGAAATTCACAGTTATCAATCAAGCCACTAAACTGATGGAAACGCTGGTCCATTAAAAGTTGTGCTTGACCAACAGCTAGTCTAATTTGTCCCAAACCTATTAAAAACCAATTGACTTGTCTAATGTCATAACATACAAGTTACTAAACAATTTGTAAAAATATTTGAAACAATATAGCAAAGCTGCCTAACTGAAACTAACTCAACATAATAAAAGAAATAGAAGTATATTACTAAAAAAATGTGTTTAATTGCTTGTTAAGCACATATAGCTTCTACCTCAGCCCACATGTCAATTAGTATAAGCACAGGACTGAAACCAATTATATCAAATAATTTAATCTTGTTCTCAGCCAAACAAAATGTAACTTTTATGGCAAATAAAAAAAGGTTACCATAGAGACAAAATCCTGATCAACAAGAAAGATAGTTTTCAATACTTAGATGTACAAATAGATCAATGACTCATTAAATAAATTCAAATAGGTAGGAACTATAATACTTTTCAAAACATATATACATAATATGCTTCTTTTGCACAAAAGATTTGTTACAAGATACATAACATATTAAAATAAAATATAAAATATGTTGCTAAATTAAATGACTTGAAGCAGCAGTACTTCAAATAAATGATAAAACTACAATTCAACATAGCTTATTGGCTGATTAATGAAATAAGTGTAAAAATTTTAATATAAAAACTTAACGTACAGACAAAAATCAATAATACACATCAAGTTCATTAAATGTTAAAGAAAATACACTAAAAACAACTTTTAAAACTCTGACCAAAGTAAATACCTCTTACTCTTCAGCTAATACAAAGATTTTCATTTCTTTTTTTATATGAGAGCAAACTATTGATTTGAGTACTTCTTTAGTCACGTTCCAGTAACACAAATACTGAAACTTTACAGATATTTAAATATCAATTTTGATATACAAGGAAAAGTAGGCTTTAAATTTGATAAATCAATTCAGCAGTACAATATGATAGAATTTCACATTAATCAAAAGTGACCTGAATAGTACATGGATTTATTAGTTAAAACAACTTCAAAAACCTGAATGAGTATTCATTGCCCTTCAACCAACTTTTCAGTAAGAAAGCTTTCCAGACTATTGTACCATTTCAAAACTGTGCTAGTTAATTTTACGGACTGAAGTTTTGCTTGTGATTTTTTTCTGGAAATACTTATAAATTAAATACCTATATCTTTTTGTATTCTCAGAAATGTATAAAAAATTTAATATTTCTATGGAAGATTTATTACTGTGCTGCTAAACAAGTAACTTACATTCATCTGGGATATCAGCTTTTGCTGCAGTTTCATTCCATCTTTCACACAGCTTCTGAAGATGCTCCTTTTCACTTGCTAACTGTTGTCGAAAGTACAGAACGTTGTGGGCACTCATGATAAACTTGAACACTAGATCATAAAAAAATGCAGCTGAAGCTTAATTCTGAGAAATAAAAGCTAAATAAGAATAGGAAAAAAATCTACAATTACAAAGAAGATCTGAACCTGATTTATCACTTTTGCATGTACTTAAACCTCCAGAAACATGAATTTGCCAAATGGAAGTTTTCAGAGGTACTACAACTTCTCTGCTACTCCAGTCTAAAATAATTTGAATTTTTTTTTAAGTGGGTTCATATCTTGCAATGCTAATCAATAACAAACAAAAATATAACTTCAGATATCTATATAGCAATCCAACACAAATTAAAATAATGTAAACTAACTGCACATTTTACTTTAAACCGAGTATTGAGAAACAGAGCTAAGCAATAAACTCAACTGTTCAACTATCTATCAGCATCTATTATACTAATCAGTGACATGAAAAATAATCAATAATTAAAATTACAATTAAATCAATTAATGTCATGGAAATTATCAACTAATCAAAATTAAGGTGTTTGATTATTCCAGCCTCCAAGTAATCAAAATATTGCCATTATGATTTATTGTAATTATTTTTTCATTAATTGAAGGTTGTTCAGCTTAATCAATTAGTGTCGTGACTCAACAATAATAAACTAATTAGTTTCTAATTATTATTATTATTTTCAATTATTTCTACTATCCAACTTCCATATGAGAATACTAATCAATTAGTTGAATATAATGGATTAATGAGTCTGACAATCAGTCAATTAGTAAAGTTACCCAATGTTACTGAGAAGTAATGTAAAGCACTGCATGTCAAAGCCAATTAAATAACAATAGGTATATAAAATTAAGAAAACCAAATGTTCCTTATTCTTCATCAATAATGGCTTTTTTTAATGATAGGTAATGACAATTGCTTACTATGTAACTATAAAGATTTTGAAACAAACACGATAATAAACCACTAGAAGGTAAAAAGTTAGCATACATTACACATATATATATTAGAATCAGAGTAACTGAATTTCTTTATAGTTTTAAATACCATAAACTGGTAAAGCAGTGAAACCAACATTCCTAATACCAGTGATAATAAAAGTAAAAAGCACACTAGGTTGCATGTCTTTATTCAGGTTTCACTTAATTAGGTTATTATGGATTTCACTGTGTACAAGTACAACTCTGAAATAAGTTAATTAAGAAGAAAGTGAAAAACATACACATACATCTATAGTCTAATGAAATTTTTAAAATTAATATTAGGCCTATAAATTTTGCAATTGGAATAATAACAAGAAATTGTTTTTTTTTTCATTCTTTATGACAAAGAAAAAAACTAGTAGTAATGCCATTACCAATAGTATAACAATAAACAGATGAATTAGAATGTTAAACTTCTACTACCTCTAACTTCTAATTCAGGTTTCCATTAAGTAGTTAGTAAGATTTAAAATGTTAGGATAGCAGCAGTGCCTAACTTACACAAAAAGGTTTTAATTTTTGAACATATTTTAGTTACTTCACTATGAAAATTTGCACTATGATGAATGAAACCATAAACTGATGACAGAGGACTATCTGTTATCACTTTCCAGGTACTTGGTAGAGGTACACAATTTTATATGATTACATGTTAATGTTGGTTTCTTTTACACTTCAATTTTAGAAGTAATAACCCAAGGACAATACATAAACAACAAAGAGTTTGTCAAACACTAACAGTAACACTAATAACAGTGAGTTCTCAATTTATCATTAATGTTAAGGTTGAACTTAACATCTGACATGTTTGATATTACTCTCAGTCTCAGATTAAAATTCAAAAGTAACTGGTATTACCAGTGGTAAGGAATTATTTTGATCAACAAACCTCCCTCGTCTCTTAATAATATCAGTTTTTACATTGTCAGTGTCACTGTCAGTAATAAAATCAGTTTGCTCAGATTCAGAGACTGAAAAAAACTTGTAAGTTACATCTATATACACAAAATGTGTGTTTGTTTGAACCCTAACTCCTCTGAGCCCATTGGGCCAATATTAACCAAAATTTGTATCTAAACACTTAGAACTATGGGGAATGTTCTAAGGTGTCAAAATTGAACTTAACCCTATTTCTATTTTGTAAAGCCTGTTGGTTAATTACTCACAGCCTATTGAGTCAATCTCAGACAATCTTGGCAGGTTGACACTTTAGACAATGTTAAATATTCTAAAGGGATTCAAGGTCAAAGTATGAAAGTTGCTGGATTGTTTCTCAAACAACCATAATTTTCTCCTGGTCAATGAGATGTAGGGTGTTTAACGGTGGGATGACCTCAAAATCTTTATTTGTTGGTAGATGGAAAGCAAACTACAAATGTTATTTATGAAGAAGCTTTGTTATAATTTTAAAATTTCGAGATAAAGTGTACGTTCAAGTTATTACTTTAAAATATATACGATTGCTGTTAAACTTACATTGTTTTAATTACGTTTAAACATTCCCCGTCAGTTGACGAGTATTTCAGCTTGTAATTTATAAGTGTAACTTGTATTATAAGGCTACACTACAGTACAGTCTACAGTGCAAGTGGCTTGCTTTGATTAGACATTAATACTAGCGATATTATTACAAATA